TAGCCCTGGCGTGCGGAGAGGGGACCGGATAGGGGACGCCTCTGTGTTCGCCCCCTCCAAGGTACCTGAATCTCCCTCCCTTGTGTGTGTGTGTGAGATGGGCCCAGTGACACCTGCTCTGCCCTACAGCGCCCCCTGCTGGGACAGGCTGCTTACAGAGGAAACACACCATATTCCCACCCCCTAAACCAGCCAGTCACCTGTCCTAGGGCCGGATTAGAGCCGGTGCCCCCTAGAGGGGAAAGGCCCCGTGTCCCTTTCCTGCCCCCGTTAACACCGTGTCTCTCTCCCTCCCCAGCCCGAGCTGGCTCAGTGCGCCAGTGAGGCTGAAACGCCCGGTTCAAAGGACTTTGTGAAGCAGATGAGTGAGCGCCCCCTGCTGGTGAGTACAGGCTGGTGTGGATCCCAGCAGTCCCTTCCCCTCTGCACTAACACAGACAATTTGGTGGGGGGGCTGGGCTGGGAGAGGGACCTCTGCTATAGACAGACCCAGACCCTCATGACCATGCTGAGCCCCTGCACACCCCCTGCCTCACCTGGCAATATCCTTCCGCCCCCAGGACTGCTCCGTAGCCACCTGTAAGAAGATCCGGTGCAGAATCGCCTCCCTGGAAATGCAGCAGCCGCTGGAGTTCATGATCAAAGGGAACGTCAGCTTCCAGTGGGTCTCCCAGGTACGAGAGCTGCCTCTGCCTCCCAGCACCAGAGTAGGGATATCCCTGCCCCCTGTGTGAACAACTCCTGTTCCCCTCCCCAGAGGCGGCTGCATCTCAGTGCGGGGGAAGGGATTGCCCTTGTGTGAACAGCCTGTAAATTGCTCTGGGTCCCCCTGGGACGATGCTCTGGGCTGGTTTGTATCATTTCCAGTCAGGAACGGTGAATTTCTCTGTTCCAGACACAGCAGCAGAAAGTGAGTCTGGTGAGCGAGGCCCGGATTGAATACGAGGAGAAGAAATACACCCAGAAGGAGGGATTCGTCCAGCGCCAGGTACCAGAGTGACTGCGCCCGGGATAGAGAGAGCATCGGCCAGTGGTTAGAGCTGGGAGCCAGGACACCTGGGTCCTGTCCCTGCTCTGCAGGGAGAGTGGGGTCCAGTGGGTTAGAAGAGGGAGGGTGGATGGTGTCAGAACTCCTGTGTTCTCTCCCTGGCTATGGTGGGGAGTGAGACCGAGTGGATACAATGGGGGTGGCGGGGTGCTAGGACTCCTGGGTCCCCATCTCACAGCTCCTCTCCCCCAGGTGCAGACGGTGGTGGAGCGCTCCGAGGCCTATAACTACCTGCCCATCATCGTGGGCAGCAGCGTGGGGGGCCTGGTCCTGCTGGCTCTCATCACCGCAGCCCTCTACAAGGTGAGGGAGGCAGGGCTTGGACCCCTCCCCCACTGCCCATCACCCTGGGGGCGGGGCCTGTGGCTCTCCCAGCTGGTGGGGGAGGGGAGAGGGTATTTACTTTGGGGGCTCCCAGACTCCATCCCCCCACCAGGCGTGAGTCCATCTACTTCTGTCCGGCTGGCTCACACCATCTCTCCCCTCTTTTTCCTTCCAGTTCGGCTTCTTCAAGCGCCAGTACAAGCAGAGGTTGGAGGGTGAAATGGCCGAGCCGGCCCAGAGCGATGCCTCCGCTCCCCTCAACGCCCCCAAACAATAGCCCCGCCTACATCCCCTCCCCATGGGCTGCTTCAGATCCACACACCAACGTGACAAGCTGGACTTGGAACATCCCTTCAGAGCCTCCATGCGGGGCTGGGACCAGGACTCCTGGGTTCTCTCCCAGCAGCGGGAGGAGAGTGGGGTCTAGTGCATTAGAGCAGGAGGGGCTGAGTCTCTCTCCACCTCAGTTTCCCCACTTGTAATGTGGGGATAATTATCCTGCCATTTTCTATTTATACTGGGAGCTGTTTGGTGCATGGCTTGACTCTCACTGTGAAGATGGCGCTCCCAGAGTAAAGGGGCGCCTTGATCTCAGCTGGGCTCTGTGCGGCACCAGGGTCCCCACCTCAGTCAGGGCCTCGCGGTGCTACAGGGTAACATCTAATAAAGCCAAGCTCTCGGAGTCATTCGCCTGCCTTGCCTGAGGTCTCAGGTCGTTTCAAACCATCCCCATATACAGCGGGTGCGTTTGTGGGTGGGAAAGGGGGATGTGGTGCGTTATTCACCTGCCTTGCCTGGGCTGATCACGGAGTTTCTATGCTACATTCCAGACAGCTAATAACCCCGCTGTTTTTGCAGTGCTGGCCGAGAGTCACTGCGGCTGCTGAAGGTGGGGGTCACGGCATTGCTCCGTTTGGGGTACACGTCTCTCTCAGGTGTCCAACTCAGGCAGACTCGCTGCAGGGAGCTCGCGGTGTGTCGCAGGGGTGCTGAAGGCTCCGTGGTTCAGTCCCAGGAGGTGGTGAAGCCAAGTGGCTCACCCCAGTGAGAGAGCGTGACCCGAACGGGGCTGACACGCGAAGGGCTCCTCCCAGGGACTGTTCCAGAGCCATGTGAGAGCACCGGGCCTGTGGAGCTGTGACACCACAGGTGCCAGCTTCCTCCGGGCCCCAGGAGTGCTCAACCTCCCGCTCCGCCCCAGGCCCCGCCCCCACCTGACCCCTTCCCCCCAAGTCCCTGGCCCACCCCATGCCTGCCCCCACCCCAGCCCTTTTCCCACCCCTACCCAACCTCTTCCCTGCCTCTTCCCACTCCTGCCCCACCCCTGCCGTACACCCATCCGAGCCCTTCTCCCAAGCCCCCACCCTGCCTCTTCCTGCCCAGTTCCGCCCCCTCCCCCGAGCGTGTCCCCTCCCCACTCCTCCCCCTCCCACCTAGTACCTCCTGCATGCCATGGAACTGCTGATCACACTGGCCCAGAGCCACACCACATCCCCCTTTCCTGCCCACAAACGCACCCGCTGTATTTGGGGACGGTTTGACCCCTCTTCTGTCCCAGTTCAGGGAACCTCCTGCTTCCAGCAGCCCACACTGAACAACTCCCCACCGGGCCTCTCCTCACTCCTTTGTTCAGTCCTCAGTCCCCAGAGCCGGCTGCCCCCTCCTTCCGCAGCGAGCCTGCGCCCGAACGCCCAGCACAGAAAGACCCCGGAGACCGTTGTGCTCTCTCCCCGCAGGGCTGGGT